AGGAGGTATCTGAGCCTCTAGCTATCATCTTTGGAAAATCATGGGAGACAGGAGAGATTCCAGAGGACTGGAAAAGGGCAAATATAGTGCACATCTATAAAAACGGAAATAGGAACAACCCAGGAAACTACAGACCAGTTAGTTTAACTTCTGTGCCAGGGAAGATAATGGAGCAAGTAATTAAAGAAATCATCTGTAAATACTTGGAAAGTGGCAAGGTGATAGGGAACAGCCAGCATGGATTTGTAAAGAACAAATCATGTCAAACCAATCTACTTCTGTGCCAGGGAAGATAATGGAGCAAGTAATTAAAGAAATCATCTGTAAATACTTGGAAAGTGGCAAGGTGATAGGGAACAGCCAGCATGGATTTGTAAAGAACAAATCATGTCAAACCAATCTGATATCCTATCAAAGAAAGCTAACAAGTCTTGTGGATAAGGGAGAAGCGGTAGATGTGGTATACCTAGACTTTAGTAAGGCATTTGATACGGTCTCGCATGATATTCTTATCAATAAACTAGGTAAATACAACTTAGATTGGGCTACTATAAGGTGGGTGCATAACTGGCTGGATAACCGTACTCAGAGAGTAGTTATTAATGGTTCACAATCCTGCTGGAAAACTCTGCCGTTGCCTGGTCCCAAGTCCAGGATGTGAAAGGAGGAGGGTTGTACGTCGGGCTAGCAATCCACTACGTAAAAAACTCTTGCTACAGAAATGTCAACGAAAACTTTAGAAAGCCATCAAAGGGGTGATCAGCTGAGGATCAAGGCAGCAACGCCTAGCATGACGAGCAGAGATGAAAGCCGAAAGGAAGTTTCTGCTCCGATACATTCCCTAGCGAAACCCAAGCAACAAGAGAGAGTGGCAGCATGGAACGTAAGAACCATGTATGAGACCGGGAAAACAGCACAGGTGATGAGAGAAATGTCCAGGTACAAGATCCATATTTTGGGCATTAGTGAAATGAGATGGACTGACTCAGGGATGCTAACACTTGGTTCAGGGGAGACTGTCTGTTACTCTGGAAGGTCAGATGCACAGCATCAAGAAGGGGTTGGCATCATCATGGATATTCAGGCCAAAAAGAGCCTTCTGGGATGGGAACAAGTCAACTCTCGCATCATCAGAGCAAGATTCTTTTCCAGCTACGCCAAAACCACCATTATTCAATGCTATGCACTCACCGAACAAGCTACAGAGGAGGAGAAGGACTTATTCTATAGCAACCTGCAAGAGCAGATAGACAAGACACCTCGCCACGACGTTTTGATCGTAATGGAGGATCTGAATGCAAAAGTCGGGTCAGATAATGAAGGCTACGAATCCTGCATGGGCCCAGAGGGTGTCGGCGAAAGAAACGATAATGGACAGCATTTTGTAGATTTGTGCCTGGAGAATGGTCTGGTGATAGGAGGCACTGTTTTTCAACATAAGAAAATACATAAGTTGACCTGGATATCTCCAGATAGAAGGACTTGTAACCAAATTGATCACATTGCTATCAACCAGAAGTGGAGAAGATCCATGAGAGATGTCCGAGCACTGAGAGGAGCAGATGCCAACAGCGAACATCATCTTCTTCTTTGCAAGCTGCAGCTCAAGCTGAAACGGCTGAAAAGGACAGACAGACAGACTGGTGGACAGCTCTTTTAC